TATGTACAGCAAGGTACCATAATACCACAGCTCTGTACTGCTATATCACAGTAATTCCATGGGCATGGCAACTGTAAAGTCACAGTATTTAGTTGTACTTTTATTCTAATTTACTGTAAAATATCTACAGTCAATTACTGTGAAATATTTACAGTAATTTCCTGTAATTTTACAGCCAAACATTTTACAGTGTAGCTTTATGCTTTATTATATACATTTTCCTCCTGTGTGGCACCATGCACCATATTCCAGTTGGTGGGAAGTAGTGGAGTACAAATACTTTGTTACTGTACTTAAGTACATGTTTCTGGTATCAGTACTTTACTCCACTTCTTATTTTTCTGACGACTTTTTACTTTGACTTCTTACATGTTGAACACAAATACCTGTACTTTCTACTTCTTACATGCTGAACACAAATACCTGTAATTTCTACTTCTCTCATTTTCCAAACAGGCTGGTTCCTTTAGTTTGAATGTGTGTTTGGTGGCGTGATCATTATTATTTAGAGTCATTGCGTGCCTATTGATTTGAACACGATCCGTGTATCCATCATTTCCTGGTCTTCTCTAAAGAAGAGGGACCAATGAAAACGTTGTCATGTTGCCGTTGTTCAGCATGGAAACATTCATTAGCTAACAATTACATTATTGTTCTATTAATATAAAGGGAGGTCAGGTACTCTTTAAAACAGCTGCTAGTTATGGGTACTTTTTACTTAAGTGAGTTTCGAAGCCCTCTTTACTTTTATTTGAGTAAAGAAGTTTAGTCAGTACTTCTACTTTTACCAGAGTTTTTTTAAACACGAGTATGTGTACTTCTACTTGAGTAAAGGGTGTACTTTTGCCATCTCTGTCCAGTTGACTCATCTTACCAGATCATCCCAAAAAAACCTCTTATCTGGATTTTATGATGTGATTTTGACACTTCACCTTTCTCCAGCTCACTGATCCTGTCCACCAAAGCGCTCAGGGTGCTCTCGGTCTTCAGCCTGTACTCGGCTGTGGCGTTGGACAGCATGCTCTTCTCCTCCTCCAGGTTGCTGACCTTCTTCAGGAGCTGCTTCTCCAGCTCCCCGAGGCGGCGCTGCAGCAGGTCCCGCAGCTCGGTGGGGAACGACGCTCCGGATACGTTGGCTCTCAGATGCTGTTGCTAAGGAAGGACGGACGGGACAACATGAGCAGGAAGTGCACACTGAGGATCATCAGCCCCCATTGAGCTTACATCACCACTCTATGATTGACAGGCCCACAGTGTCAGGGTTGTATAACGCTTTGGTTTTCCAATTGCGTTGTTTGATTAAATGTAATTAGGCTTGGCTTGTTGAATTCACTGTGGCACTTATTAACCACCTGTGTACTTTTCATGCAAATTTAAAGCGGAAAAGCTCATTAATAAAAAATGTTGGACATGTTAACTCTCGCTTGAGATATCTGCAAGTATGAAGTCCTGATGGCATCCAGACAATGAATGGGAAGGGGGTTGTTTGGATATGTGAAATCCAAATCTATAGTAAGATCCTCTGCCTTCTATCAAATCATATACATATTCCTATATTACACTGCACTGTAACTTTGAATATTATGTCTTATTCTATTTAGTTTGTTCCGATTTTAATTTGTTCTAGTTTCTTGGCTTTTTAACAGTTTTAAATGTACTTAAATGTCATTTTTCAATGTGTTTCTGTTGCACTATATCTTCAGGCTTTAAATGTTTCTTTATAAAGCAATTTGGATTACCTTGTGTTGAAATCTGCTATATCTAAAAATGCCTTGCCTTAAAACCCAATATTTATGTAATCAGAACATTCCCCTGGGTGAAGCGTCGTCTATAAAATCTCTCTAAATTCGGTTTCTTTGAAAAGGCTTCAGTTGATGACATCATACATGTGGCTTCAGATTCTCAGGTTTTTGATTTTGGTAGAGATTTGTTAATTTTCACATATAGTTCTGTGATGTCTTACACCATAGGAATGACGTATGGGTCTGACATTAAGCATAATTAACCTTTTAAACTGGAAAAACTCATTTTACTTTATTCTCGCTTAAGAACCTATAGCTTAGCAAACTCCCAGGCAGCACAACTGGTCCTGCGTAATTGATTAATTAATCTCATCCTCAGATACCTCTGATTTGAACAGTGTTTAATGATTCTCAGAAGTGCCAACAATGTGCCAACTAAGTTTAACGTCACAGCAGTGTATAGACAAGGTGTTGTAATCCTATAATTCCTAGAAGTCAAACTGTTCTTTTACGCATGGCTTTGGCACAGAGGCTTACTTTGCGCATTTCCTCACCTCTAAGTTCTCCAACCGGTCCTTCAGCCCTTGCATGGTTTTCCCCATACTGTCGATGCTGTCATTTGGATCTCTGGGAACATCCCCCATTGTGTTTTGCTTCTCTTTCCCCCAGGAAGCCCCCTTGTCGTACTTCCTATCGTCAGTGGTTGAGGCACAGAGGGACAGCTTGGTGGTGAGCTCGTTGATGGTACCTATCTGTTTGGAAATCATTTCTTTCTGCTGTAGGATTGTCTCTCGGAGCTGCATGACGGTATTTCTGAGCTCCTCTTCCTGGCCCCCCACGTTTAGCTCGGGTAACAATGTCACCGGGCACGTGGGATCTCCGCTGAGGGGAATTGCGCGGCAGATGTACCGCTTTCCATCGTCCAGCTGTCCATTGGTGGCTAACTGACCGCGGCCCAGGGCACACAGACTCACCAATCCGCACAAGAGTGAAAACATACCGGCAGAGATACAATTAAAGTTAAAGCCAAACCCTAAATACTCTATCAAAATCCACCGGTAACTTCGGTGCGTAAAAGTGCAGGTTTACCCAAAAAAACTCACGTATAACTATCTCTACTGGGTAGCGCCATGCCGGATCAGCAATATGAAGACAAGTCTGAGCAGAAAATCCGATCAGGGGTGACTCGGTCACTGTAAGCCCGGTTAATGTGGCTTGTGTTCGAGGAACTATTTGTGGCTCTAATAGAGAGCACTGCGCGGTGCTGATCTGACAGCTCCTCTTAGGAAAGAGGATTACCAAAAAGAAAGGTGTCTGTGGAGCTCTGCGATTGGCTGTAGTAGGCTGACGTCAGCATCTGGGTCAAACATTTGTTGGTTCATTTATTTGCAAAGTGAATTATTAAGCAACGAAGACTAAGGAGTTTACTAATTACAACATTTAAGTTGAGGATGGCTAACTTTGGGAAGGTGTGATAAAAAAAATGGAGTCTCAGTTTATTGTTTGTTTGTTTATGATGTTATATGTTCCCATAATGAATGTATTGTTGTCTAGAGCAGTCCTTATTCAACATTAAGATTTGGTCAGAAAAGTACGGAAGAGGATTATAGGGCCACATGTTTTTGGGATATCTCACCAGAAGTGGGTTTTTTTGTTCTAACTTTAAAGCCAGAATTGGAAAGTCTGAACCAAAAAAACGTTACACAGTTTTTAAGAAAACATGCTTGTGAATCAATAGTGTTATGTTTTCATTAAAGTACCAAAGTTTAATCGATATTGTCATAACATGCCAACTCTTTCTTTCTCTCCAACACATCAACTGAGGATTGGGGAACACTATTGGTAGAATGTAATGAAGAATAATTGCGGAAATTGGTGCCGCCATGTTGGTAAATAACGCAGAAAACGGGCCAAAAGGGGGTAATTTCACTAGATAAAAATCACGCAGTGCTCTCTACGCTGCCAAAAACCCATTACAAAATCTATCCAATTCCAGCAGCATGCTATCAGCTGCTCCACATGATACAAAACTGGTCTTGTTTACATGTCAGAACAATATTATTATTCAAACGTTGTATGAATCGAGCAAATGTCATGAAAGGTACATGAGTGTAACATTGCTCCAGAAAATCCAAAAAAACTTAAATTAAACCCAAGATACCTTGCTAGAAAAATGAAAATGAGAAATCTATTTCAATTTAGTGTCAATTTCAGGCATCAATGTCGATTCAATACTTCTGTCTGATGATATTTCACTGTTGATTTAAATCCTATTATGTTATCCGGGTGATAGAAAACCAAGATCCTAAAATAATATAACATTTACGACCAGTTATTTGTATAAGTTTAGTAACAATCAGAAAAGTAAGAACACAATATACAAGCAAGTAATTAAGACATTTTGTTCCACTAATTAAGTGCGCCACTTGAGTTTTCCCAGCCATAACAAACCTGAGAAATCGTTATGAATGCAGGTGAGTCCTTCAATGAAGGAAGCATTGAGGAAGAAACAGGATGTGGTGGTAAACAATTAACCACAGCTGCCTGCCTGGCTGTGAAAGGTCAATACATCTCGGTGTGCAGACTGGAAGACAGACCACTGTGCTTTGAACACGGCTCTGAATCATTCAGGGATCATTCTTTTTAATGAGAGGAGAAACAGTTTGGTTTCATTCACTAAGAGCACATTGTTGAGTGTCGGCGTTTAAAAAACAGCAAGGAACTCATCTGCAGGACTTCTTTTTTGCTCTGATCAGATAGAGACGCTTCCACTCAAGTGATTACACAGAAAAGTTTGTTACTAGGCTACCATCCCTACAGGCAGTTTCAGAACAACGTCAATGCAACACATCAGTATCATGTAAAAATAAAAACCATCTGCAAAATGAGACAGGTTCAACCAGTTTGTGCCATCTGAAATGGAAAGCATTTTTCATTAGCTTCTCATTCATCTGAAAATAATGGGGGTTTTTTTGCGGTGGAAGAAGGAACAATACGAATTAAAAAACACATTTTAAACCGAGCAAAGGGGTCGGGCCACATTCAAAAGGTCATGAATTAAACTTGGGATGTTTTGATTTAAATAATAAGACAGTAAAGAAGACAAAGGTTACGCCGTACGTGACATATTTGGATACATTGAGTTTCTTTTTGAACATAAATGAGTGTTTCTGAGGGGAAATGTCCCTTTGTTGGAACCAAATCCCAAATCCCTGGCCCAAATCAGACACCGATTTTTCACGAGGTGTCATAAGCCAAACATGATTTGAACCACTAGTCTTACATCTTAAACAGTGCATGTTCTTTAATAAGCTAGTTGTATTTTTTTTTAGCTGAAAGTAACTACATCCGAGTGGAAGATGGAATATTTCCCCCTGAAATGTATTGAAAAGTAAGTATAACGTAGTAGTGGTCAAGTTTATGTAACACATAACTGAACTGAAGTGAAGTAATTTGATGAATACTTTCCATCACTGTAAGTGTAAGTGGTTTGGAAAGCAAAGGGAAAAAGGAAAATAAGAAACGTTCAGGACTGTAGCTGATTTCTCTGATAAATGGTGTTTGGATAATAATCATTTGGCAATACTTTCAATGGATTCATTTTAATCAGATATGTTGTAAAATATTTTTGCTGCTGTCGTCATAAATTATATTTGGATTTTACAACAGGACAACTTCCCAACAAATGTAAATGTTATCAAAATACAAGCGAATTTTTGCGAAAAGATTTACGAATATATCACAGCAGAGATTTTTGGTGAGTGGAGAAAGAAAGAAATAGGGGAAGCGGGATCTTGCTGTATTGTTTGGGCATCAACACCTTCAGTTTGCTGGTTTGTAGCTTTGCAAAGCTTGTGAAACATCAATTATCATCATGGGTAACGCACTCTGCTTCAGATAAACCCAGAGTTTAGACATCACACCTTCTTTCTGCTACCGAGGTGAGAGAGACAAAAGGTATTTGCCAGTCCAATTTGAACTCATGCTGATTAAATCACATTATAACAACAACCATATTCACAAAGCAAGGCATGGAGTCTTTTTCACAAATGTTCATCCGGCTGGTTCGCAGAGAAAATGTCCTCTCATTCTGCAGACCTCAAGGATGGAAAGAGTGAATGTGGATGTGCGCATGAATAGATTCCCAGGGTATTGTTGATGATCAGGCTCAAGGGAAGTGCACTTTTTTTTCTATATGAGAAATAATAATGCAGGGGTGATCATGCTTCATCATAAGGTACATCAGCAGCTGCAGAAGTGCACACAAAAACACACACACACACAAATCTAATGGACACATGAGTGGTTTCTGGAAAGCGGGAACTACAGCGTGTCATCCACTCTGGGGATAAAGCCCCTGTCACACAAAAACCTCACTAATGAAACGAACAGGACAGCGCAATAAGCCTGAGACAAACATCTTTTAGCAGATCTTTATTACTCAGAGAGCGAGAGGGAGAATGAGAATGTCACATTATATGTCAAATTATCTTGTACATTTTGTATGATATTAACTGAAAGGGATATCTCTTTTGCCAGTGGGTTCACTCTGTGGAAAGAGGAGGCTGTGAATGGGAGAAATATCAATCAAACCCATTAGTAATGAATCTAAGCAGGAGACAGGACATGATGAATAATTACCGCCTTTCAACCTGACTTCATTATTTCCAAAGCTATGGAGAAGAACCATTATGTAAACGAAAGAATGTCACATCTTTAGGCCATTTACACGTTCATTTGAATGCATAAAAGCCACTTCATATAATGTCAATGACACTTGGGAACAACCTTCAAATGATCATGAAAGATACTATACTTTAATTTGCCAGATAAAGCCATTGTAAAATATTATTTGGCACCCATCATGTTCATATTTTCCAACATTAATAAAAGAACAACACATGAGACGTACAAAACAACAACTAATAATTGACCACTGCTATGACCTGTTATTTCTCCAGCCATATCCTTACAACATATTTAAAAACAACACAGTCTCTGGTGATTTATTACACACCGAGCACTGAAGATTTCAGAGCAAGTGACTTTAGCCACTTTCCTTCATTGGACTGCCATCTTGTGGTCAAAGCAAACAATGCAAACTCATACAAGACATTTTAAACAGTGAATAAAGTACTTTAATTCCAGGGTAATGTGGCAGCAACATCAGAACTCTTCATGCATCAATTATCCAGTTTTATTTCCCACTCCTCAGTATCAGCTCTTAATGGTTGCCTTGTTGTGAAATATCCCTCTAAATTGACATTTGCATGGTATTAAAGCCCTAAAATGTATTAGAATGGATGAAAAAGACATCCAAAAATCAATCACTTAATTTAAATAATGTATCATTTAAAAAAAAACACACTACCCATGGAAGTGACTGTGCGCAGTTACCTGCTAATTTACCTCTTCTGCAAACAACCCAGGGAGCCAGAAGACCATCGAAAATGATGGTCATATAACCACTGATTTCCCTTATGTATCGTTCCGTTGGTACTAGAATTAAACGTTTGACCAATAAAACTCATTTTGACAAAACTGTTCATCAATTTAATCACTTATTTGTATATGAATTAGGCAATCGAACAACATGACGGTGTATTCATTCATAGAGGAAAAGAAATAAGGAAACTATGATGCACAATACGCGGAGGGATATCACACATCTTTGCTAGGCGCCGCAAACCCTCTACAGCAGTGTGAGCGCGGCGGATACCGAGCGACGGTTTCCTGTCTGTGGCGCTGGGTGAGTGCAACATTTTCGCTTTTTCGTGTGAAATGTGACCAAATAGTAGTTGTTTTCCATAGCCTACTGTGAACGGATAACTTTTAAACCAGGTTTTGTCTGAGAAAATTTGCTTTCTCCCTCTGCTTTGAGTTTATTCCCTCCTTTAAGTTTGAGAGCAACGGGCGCTTTCTTTCTTTGGGAAAGCTAGCTTGTTAGCTCGCGGTTGCTAGCGTGTTCTGCAGATTAATATTACATTTGCATGTGTTGGCTTCATTGAGTGGATGCATTAAGGTGTTACGCCTCTTAATAATAGAGTAGTTTCTACTTTGCACCTTGAAACGGTTTTCAATTCACAAATACTATCGGGGATACAAAAGTCGTGCTAACTGATGCTTGTGATGATGTCATCAATGTGCGCCCGTTAAGAGGCATGTTTGTGGATTTGTTACATGATTTGTTTTGCTTGTCAAACTCTTTATATATACAGTCTATAGTCAAACTCTGACATTTTCCCGACACAAATGAGATTTTTGCCGCCATTTTCAGCATAAATCATGTTTAGATTGAGTTTAAGTCAACTTTATTGGCAACTTCTGTGTGTGTGTGTGTGGGTGTTACAAACAGGGATCGAAATGTCGTATCTCATCGTCCAAAATAATAAAAACACATACATATAGATACTCACCTGAACACCCACTTTAACATTTTAAGAGTATGTATGCATCTATATAGAAAACATACATACTCATACATAAAGGTACATATCTATATGTATTTAACTTGGTGAGATTGTATATTGTCGTGTACATTCAATTTTATTCAATATTTTCGTTATATTGTGTATTATTTAGATACTCTATTGTCCTTTCTATTGTGAATTTGCTGCTTTTTATTACATATATACTTGCCCTATGTTCCTTTTATTGTATTATATTTGTATCTTATTGCATCTTATACATATTTTTAACTTGTGTAATGCTTCGGAATACACCACGGCACTGCTGTGACAATAATTTCCCAGTTTAGGATAAATAAAGTATCTATATATACACACAGACACACACATTAATCAAGTTTCAAGGCTTTTATCGTCATATGTACAGCTACAGTGTAGATATGACAATGACATTCTTAGGTCACAGGCTCCTCCAACAGAGCAACACAATAAAACAGATAATAGTGCAAGTAAATCAGAATATAGTAGAAACAGTGCAGAATAGTCTATATGCAGGGTGTCCGCGGGGTCTTAAAAAGTATTAAAAGTTGATAAATCAATTTAGCGAAAATGAAGGCTATTAAAAAGTAATAAACAGCATTTTCCAAGGTATTACATTTTGTAGCTTGTTTTCAATAAGTATATAAATGGTCCAAAGAGGTTGTATTCTACAGTCTGCCTGAATGTAATCATTGCGTAGGTGTGTAGTGTGATTCTGTGTAGTTTATTTATGGCATCCCGTTGGATTTGACGTCATCTGAACAGGACATCTCACGCTCACTGCTTGATAGCGCGCGAAGTTCCGTTTATGCCGGTTGTTAAACAACATCGTTATGGAGAAATGCAAGTCTGCGTCCAAATGGTTGGAAGATGAGGAGGAAGGACAATCAATACTGTATATAGTCAATGTGAGGTAAATGTAACCGGTTAGAACTCCAAGTGGCGATGAGGTCTTAAATGTATGGAAAGGGTCTTAAAAAAGGTCTTAAAAGGAATTACATTGGACTTCAGGATTCCTGCATATACCCTGTTATACAGTAATTGGAATATTGATATATATATAAGTTGCAACCAGGTGAATGTTATGGATGTTCTTTCAAAAGTTCAGGTGTTATGGCCTGTGGGATGAAACTGGCCATAGAAATAAATCCAATTGAATAAAACGGCTCTCTTTTCCCCCACAGTGTACATGTTATCCCTCTGAGATCAGTGCAGACTGCTGTCTGCCCCCGCCCCCCCCGCTGCAGCCATGTCGGTCCCGTCGGCCACCATGGCCTTCGTGCCGGCCCCCAGCCCCACGGTGGTGGACCAGACCACCCTGATGAAGAAGTACCTGCAGTTTGTGGCAGCGCTCACAGACGCCAACACACGTGAGTTCATAGACCCTGAACTGTATTTGTGTACTTGATGTCTAAAATATTATTCATTTACTGACAACATCCATCTGTCTATAATCACATTTGATGCATAAGTGCATGTTTTTTTTTAATAATATAGCATTCAAAACGATGTGCTTTATCTGTAGTGATTTAAAGCCAGTTAAAGTTTTTTTTTTTTTTAGAACTTTTGTTAGTTAATAACTAATTTGCATTCATTAAAGCGTAACAACATTTTATTTTAGAATTGTAATAGTTACAGTTGGAGCTCATGTAAGGATGGATGCAGCTTTTCCATTAAAAACTAAAAAGTTCATATAGTATTTTTTTATATTTAAAGGAAAACATAATACAAATTTCTTATACATACTTAATTTAATGTACCTTTTTAATTATGTTGAAGTTGTTGAGGCTCTTGTGCTCAGCTGGGGCGATGTGATGAGAGCGATGTTCTTTAGTCCAGTCAAAGGTACCTGAATGTGAGAGCGCTTGTGTGGGTAAGTATGTGAATGTGAGTGTGACGTACCTTTTGAACAACATGGATGCTGTAAGCCAAACTGATAAGATCTGAGCGTCCCTGCTGAGCACAAGAAGACAGCCGTGAACATTTCAACTGCATCTTTTAGCAAGTTTGATTGATGCCGACATTTTGTCCTTCAACTTCCAGCCGATGAAACGAAGCTGAAGATGATGCAGGAGGTCAGCGAAAACTTTGAGGTAAGTTTGATGAATGTTTTGTCTCTTTTGTGTTGGGATGGATTTTAAGAAGTCTATTCAAGTGTAATTCTCTAAGGATGTGTTTGACCTTGGACAATACAGTAAGTGTTTCATGCCGCGGAAAAAGGCCTGCAGCAACAAAGAAAAGTATTTGATGACATCTTGCACATTGCCAACACCTGACTGCATGATGTAACATGTCCTGGACTTTTCATTTCAGAATGTGACATCGTCTCCTCAGTACTCCACCTTCTTGGAGCACATCATCCCCCGCTTCCTCACGTTTCTGCAGGATGGAGAGGTGCAATTCCTCCAAGAAAAACCTACACAGGTGAAGCTTCAGACAAGAGTTGGGGGCAGAAGTACTGATTTGGTTAAATGTCGAAACATCACTGTACGGATTGACTGCTGTGATTATAATGTCAAACACCCTCTGAGTTAATTTGATCATATTATTATGGTGTAATCTCACGCACATTTGGATGGTCTGCTTTAAAATATTATCCTTTTTTTTCAGCAATTGCGGAAACTGGTGCTGGAAATCATCCATCGAATTCCTACAAATGAACACCTGCGACCGCACACTAAAAACATCTTGTCTGTGATGTTCCGCTTCCTGGAGGTATGAGTCCTATTCATATACAGAACATTTTACATTGTGTTGCATCATTCATTCATTGTTATTATTCAATAGTTTTTACTGCTTATAGTTGATCTGCCACACTTCCTTAAAGCTAATCAGATTCCGACTCTCAGTAAAATGCACTTAAATTGGTGGAAAACGTATGTTAACTAGTACCCAACATTTTCCACCTACCAGTTAATGTTTAGGTAATACTTATTTTGAGCTTTTTCCAAACAATTACAACAGCCACGGTTCTTACGGTCACTAAAAACCAAGTCATGGAAATTCAAAATGCAAATTCCAGGCCCTGGAAAGTTATGGAAAACAATATTTTCCCCAAAGTTTGGGAAAAGTCAAGGAAATTGAGCTAAAGTTGCATCAAATATAATTTATATTTTATCTAATCGCCAAAATAGTAATAGTATAATGATAATACATACTGTATGGTATAATAATGAAACGTAAAATGGCATTTAACTGACGAGGTATTTTTTGCTGGTGAGTTTTACAATCACGCCCTCTATTCGACAGTGGCTTCAGTCTGTACGAGCTAGTAAGCCTACTATTCGATTTGTTTTAGATAGGCAGTAGAAACAACATGTTTCATATGCAGACCTTATTTTCCAGCTTACCATGTTAAAATAAAAATGTTTCAGTGATACCGCTGAGAAAGAGTAATTTTTTTGGTCATGGAAAACGAGGTAAAGGTCATGGAGAGAAGTCATTGAAAAGCAATGGTGAAAAAGTGTATGCACCCTGAACAGCTAGGGTTCATTGCTATGGCTCAAGTAAGGTAGATAAGAAAGTTGTCGACAATAATATTTGATGATTTCACTCTGATCTGTTGGAATAAGAAATGTTTTACAGTTATTCTAAAGATACAGGAGGTTTCATTTGGCTATCTCACACTCATGCTGTTTTCTTTTCACAGATTGAGAGTGAGGAGAATGTGCTGATATGCCTCCGCATCATCATTGAGCTGCACAAACAGTTCCGCCCTCCGATTTCCCAGGAGGTGAGAATCTCAGCTTTATTGCCACCCCAAAAAATACATAGCTGTCCTCAAATAGTGTCTCTGTTTTGTAATGTACTCAACTGGTGATTTGTTTATGGTATAAAGAAATTGTCAATATTTCTGTGATGCCAGAAAAGTCAATATCAATGATTGGTTTCCTCTCATTCATTATGAAAAGTAAGAGAGACATTGAACACTTTCTTGAAGCCTTTGATTCACACGTTTCCCATAATCCCCTCTTCCCAGATTCATCACTTTCTGGACTTTGTGAAGCAGATCTACAAAGAGCTTCCCAAAGTCGTTGTAAGTACACCCTTCTTTGCAGGTTTCAGTAAACAAGTGGAGGACTTTGTCTCTTCTCTCGCTTGCCACTTGTGTCCTTTTGTTTCCTTTAACCACTGTTTCTTTCTGCTCCTCTCAGACCAGGTACTTTGAGAACCCGCAGGTGATCGCAGAGAACACGGTCCCCTCCCCAGAAATGGTCGGGATGATCACGTCGGTGATGGTCAAGACGGCACCTGAGAGGGATGACAGCGAAACACGAACAGTAAGACGACCAGGAGTTTATATTTCCACTTGTTTGAATCCATACTGCTAAAGTACTGTCTCTAACCACAGGATGGTAGTACTGCACCAGCAGAAACAGAAACCCGTTAGTCCAACAGTTGGCACATCATTAACAAGATGAACCACAAAATTGCATTCTTACTAACCCTAAAATAGTAATAAAAAAGAAGTTGTACTGGTGTAACAACTATTTCTTTAATTGCACATGCACCTTTTGTCAGGTTTATATGATGCATTAACTGTTTTTGTTGTTTTCCTTCTAATAAATGTTGGACTACATGTTACGTAGGCTGTACTGAAAACATAATGTGGATCTAACTGGACGAGTATCGAAAATCTGTGACACATTGTTATGGAAAATGTACACAAACTGACAAGGATTCAACCTGATTTAGCCTTGTGCTCAGAAATAGTATAACCCTTCTTTAAAACTTGAATTTGTTTTCCTCTTTCTCACTGTGTACAATCGCATTCCTGTATTTATTTTAGAGTTTAGAAGCAAGTGGCATTTCGGTCTTTCCTCATTGTGTTTCTCTCCTTGTTTCTGCCTCCAGCACACCATCATCCCCCGGGGGTCTCTGTCCCTCAAAGTTCTGGCTGAGCTGCCGATCATCGTGGTGCTGATGTATCAGGTAATGCATTTCTTCGGTTGTAACCATGAAGTACAGTTGGGGTTCATGTAAAGATGAATGCAGCTTTTCCTTTAAAGGTCACCTATCATGCTATTTCTAGGCAATAGCATAGGTCTCAGATATATACAAATATATAAA